CTTGGGATTCACCACCCAGCATTTGCCAAGATGGTGAGATCAGAACCTGGTACTGCAGCTCCCAGTGTGCGAAACCCCTGCAGCTGAAGCTCTGCCTTCAAGTAGAGGTACGATAAAATCATCCACAACCAATTCAACTTGACGCTAAGCGTTTGAGAGCTAAATTAGTTGGAGATCGGTTTCGCAGCATACGAACCACATCATGTCTGACGTCAGGGCTCGTCAAGCTTGCAGGAGTTGGGTTTCATGTAAGAAACGGCTATCTAGAATCTCTGGCCAGACGTTGCCCTTCCTCACTGTGGGCGCACCCTGCGGCGAGGCCGGGGCAGGAGTCTTGGGGCAAGTAGGTTCCAGGTTCAGGATAAGTAGAACAAGCCTTGGCACGTGCAGCTTCAAAGGTGGGCCAGTTGTTGCCCCTTTGTCCACTTGTGACCATGCCTTCTAAAATCCTTGGAGCCCTATAGCCCTGACTAATATAAAAGCCCAGTGGCTGCCAGGTCACAGTACGCGACCCAGAAACCGTCGGCAGCACGATGACGCAGCGGGCCTACTCCGACGTCTTGCTTTCCACCACAACCCCTTACTCAGACTTGTAGTCACCATCACAGTAACACTTGTACCAAACAAATAATGATGGTAAGTCTCATAACAACAAACATAGTGATCAGATTTGTGAACTACTAATCCCGATAGTACACTGTAGTGATCATAACAGTCATGATAGCGACTTTGACTGACAGCTCATACTTGCTTTGCTGCTGGCTGTGCTCGGGGTGCTAAGCGTAGGATCGAAGCAGAACGCAAGCCCACGGGTCCAACGCACGAGGCCGATATATAGTTGTTTTGACTTCGGGGTTAGGAGACATGCGCATCAGTCGCCTTGCCATGATGGACCTCCCCCGTCGGCATTCCCACAACACAGCTCTCCAGCAGTGGTGTGCAGTTGTTCATGGGGGAAATCTGGCTGGAAGCCTACAACACAACGGGCCCACTGACGCAATACAGAATCGGGTTTTGGGCCCCTTTATACTATAACTATAAGGAGGAGCCTCCCAAATAGTAAAGGTAATCATTCAGGCCCCTTTATTGGATCTCAGCGACTGACGTGCTGTTGTCGTGAACTCACGATGCCTTGGAGCTGCCCTAAAGCTGCCAGCATGAAAGTTCAAACTCCAAGCAGCAACGAATCCTGAAATGAGTTCGAGTCTCCGGCCGGATTTGTGACACCTACTTGTACGTTGGGACATGCAGCAAACCGGAAACAGTCGAAGCAGCGGCACAGGAAGCACACCACCTACCTGATCCGCGGCCACCTCGAGGGTAAGCCTCCTTTCTCTGTCCGGAGGTCCGTAGTCTGGGCATTTGGGACTTATGCCGACGGGTTTTGGATGTTTGAGGCGCCCGGCTATTGCGAAATCCGACCGTTTTGGGTAACCTCATTGTCAGCAAGCCATCAACGATCAGATCCGCATGCACAGGTATATATGTAGAAGATATTTTTGCATGAATGTTATATATAAGACATGTATGTATGTCTGTGTATATATATATATATACATATACACAGAGATAGAGAGAGCTGCTTCACCAACATCGGTGGTCGAGTACAAACGTCTTCGGTTCTCATCCGGGGCACAGAAATGCTCACTTGCCTCCGTTTCAGTGGCTGAAGTGCAAGTACAGCTCTTAGCATCAGCATACACGAAAGCCCAGACGCGTGCTAGCAGGTTTGTTCTGGCAACCCTCTGAGAGATGTGACAGGCGGTACAGCGACTTTGAGTGGTTTCGGAAGGCGCTCACAGCGCAGTTTCCTGGCATCCGAGTGGCTCTACTGACATTGGCTTGTCTTGCTTCTTTGATGGCACACTTTCCCCTTCCGAAGCCAAGCTTGATGGTTGCTCGCTTGAGAAGCCTGTGGTGACCCTTAGGTACCGCCACTGCCGAAGAAGAGGGTCAGCGGGCGGTTTGAGGAGTCGCGGACTCGGGCAAACCTGGCTCTGCTGGCTTGACATGTCTGACAGTGTAGCTGCCAGTCACTGCTGAACATAGTCGCCGCTGTTGATCAAGATTACTTCGCATGTGCGACGGCTCGTAGAAAGAGAAACATGAGCGCTGCAACCTTGAGCCTATCGATAAGGGTTCCCAAGCGACAATGAAGCCTTTCAAGCCCGAAACCTCAAGCCACGCAACCGTTGGCAAGAAGCACTCTCGCTCGCTTTGCCGTCGCGGTGAGCGAGAGCCCATTTTTCAAGGGGGACCGCAGGCGAAGCGGAACCGGAATCCAGCTGAAGTGAGGCCGAACCAGCCACATGTTCAGGTCTACATAGGTCTACTTGAGTGCCCAGGATAATGATGAGTCGCCCGATCCGAGGGGGTGGATCCAAAGCCACAGTGGCCTCAACGGGCTCGCCAGCAAAAATACCGTACGGAGTGCATGGAAGCAGCACTGTGCTTTGTTTCCCTGAACATGCAATACCTGCCCTTTAGCTCATGCTGCAAACGTTTAAAAAGCCGCAATTGCTTGGTCGAAGACCCTGCCGTGCGACGTACGCCAACCTTATTCGACCTTACATGTTGCACGTGTGATACAGGACCCTCAATGTTGCATGCTCTTGCAACTTGGAACGTGCAACGTCATCACGATACCTGGGAGTGAGACAATAGAAATACTGAGCCTTCCGAACTCTTGAGCACCGGGCAGTTTGTCTTCGGACAACCCCCACGACGAAGCTGGAGACCCTGTAGATTTTACTCTGCCTCTTACTGTATTTTTTTGCCCTTAGCATTGTGATTGTGCCACTCATTTGGGCTCAAGTCCCCTTTACGGCAAAAGGAGTCAGCAGTGTTGACTTAACGGAGTATGGCTGCTGGTAGCTGTGATACCTGAAACTTCAGGTCATCAACCGTAGGTAGCTCTGATGGCGTTGGTCCCCAACACGGGTAATGCTGGAAACGGGAACCAGGGCACCAACGCACAGAGCTATTCCACGCAGTTGCTCCAACAGAACCAACAGATTAGAGGCTCTCGATAACCCGCTGCAATTCGCACAACTGCCGAACACACTGCAGGAAAGAAATGCATGGAGTAGGGTTTCTCGTTTCATTGACCAAAGAGTGAGGCGCCGTATTTCATTTGCCCGAATGGCCGCAAGGTGCAATGCCAACTCAGAGGCAACGTAACAGTGTTTGGCGACCGAAGACCATTGTCAGCATGCCCAGCTGTGACATTTTCGTCAGAGGACCGCAGCAACGTTGCAGTGTCGTCGGTAAAGTCTGAGTCGGGTTTGCGGTAGAAGACTGCCTGCAATTGCACGCCGCACCAGCAGCAGGAGAGTCCGAAGCACCCGGAGGTTCAGCTGGCACGGTTGGTAGAGATGACCAGCTGGCACGGTTGGTAGACATGACCCCGTCGAATAGATGGCGAATGCGATTCCTCCAATTCCAGGGATTGAAGTCCACCAACTGCGCACAGCCGGTTGGACTGTTACAGGCGGGAATCCAGCTACTAAAGTAGCGTATTCCAAGACACTCCGCACTCCTGCACCACGGTTCCCACGGCATCGTTTTCGGTCGACTTGGGGATACAAGGATGACGAATGGAAGATCTTGGAGGCTGTGAACATTGATGAACTTGAGGGCATTTATGGCGAATTACCCGAAAGAATGATTGCGAGCATTACTTTGTTCTTGGCTTTGCCTGAAGATGGGGAAGAAGCCAAGCCGACAGCGATGTCGAGCCCCTCTCGGTACCAAAGTCCAAAAGGGACGAGGCTTCCTTGAGGGCCCAAGCGACTTCCACTGAGCATATTCTTATCCCATAGCTCAAAGAACCCATTTTGTCCCTTTTGTCAACGTGCCAAGATGTATGCTCCTCAAGCCAAAAAGAAAGGTGGTTCATCTACTTTTCACAGCAAGTCATTCGGAGATCATACCGGGTGTCATACCGCTGTTGACCACATCATTCATGGTGGTAATACCTCGGTTCGATCGGTTGGCGGTTGTTTGCGATTGTGTGCGGTGCAGTATTGCTAGGTATTGCTGTTGGCGGTGCGGTGCGGTTCGATACCAGCCCTCCAACCCTCCAGCCCCCCTCCAGCCCTCCAACCCTCCAGCCCTCCAAGCCTTCCAAGCCTCCAGCCCTCCAAGGCCCCCAACCCCCAGCTCCAGCCCTCCAACCCTCCAGCCCTCCGGCCCTCCACAAACCCTCCAACCCTCCAGTGCCTCCTCTGCTCCTCCTCCTCCTCTCCTGTTTCTGCCTCCTCTATTTCTGTGGTTGTTGTCTGCTACTTCCTGCTGCCTCCTCTGTTGTTGCTGCTGCCTCCTCTGCTCCTCCTCCTCTGCTGCTTCGGCCTCCTCTACTGCTGCTGCTGCTGCTGCTGTCTGCCACTGCCTCTTCTGCTGCTGCCGCCTCATCTGTTGCTGCTGCCTCCTCTGCTCCTCCTCCTCCTCTGCTGCTTCTGCCTCCTCTATTTCTGTGGCTGTCGTCGGCCACTCCTCTTCTGCTGCTGCTGCTGCTGCTTCCTCCGCTGTTGCTGCTGCCTCCTCCTCCCCTCTTCTGCCTCTTCTACTGCTTCTGCTGCCGCTGCCTCCTTTGCTCCTCCTCCTCCTCCTCCTCTGCTGCTGCTTCTGCCTCCCAGCATAAAGGAGATTTGGCTTGGAGGGTCAGAGGCTGGAGGGTTAGAGGGTGGGGCTGGAGGGCTGGAGGAGGGCTGTGGAGGGCTGGGGGCTGGAGGGGGTGGGGGACTGGAGGGTGTAGAGGGCTGCCAGGCGAAGAGGTCAGCAAATTCTTGTCCGGTAAACAGCTGGACGAGGCACACTCTTTGCGGCACCAAGAGACCAGCATGTTCAAGAACTTTGCGGCGTGGGGTGTGCCTCGCAGGCGCTTACTGACTCCTGGCAGAGCTTGCAACGTTGATGTCATGTGCTGTGCCAGCGGCAGAAGACCTGGTCTTGGCACGTCGTCTCATAGCCACGCTGACTAGGGGAAGTCGGGCTGGGACATGAAGGAGCTCGAGGAAATGACAGATCAGTACATGCTGAGACGGGAAGACAATTGCCACCGCGCTGACCTGCCGCCGAAGACAGAGCAATGGGCCTTCATACCACTTCGACCGGATGAGGATGAGCAATACCGCAAAGTGCTTGCCCAGCCGTTCTCGGATGCCCCTGCTGCAGCCTTCAAGCGCATGCACGAGCTGCGTGGGATCCTCGCTGGCGGTGCCTCGAGCAAGCTGGAAAGGCTGAGGGACATGATCCTGGGCATGGAAGAAGAGGACGAGGCAGTTGTGGTGAGTGGCAGGTTGGCTGTGTTGGATTCACAGTGCAGCAGATTGCGGCAGAAAAGGGCTGGAACGTCCTCAGGATAGATGGCTCCACAACAACTTCTTCGCGAATGGCAAACATCGACGCTTTCAACACAGAGGCCAATTGGAAGTTGTTCCTCTTGGCGAAGGAAGCTGGAGGAGCAGATTACACTTGATTGGTCGGGTGGATTCCGGCCATTGTGACCACCAGGCCTCACGACGCATTTGGCGTCCTGGCCAGCGTCGGGCATGCACCTTCCTCTCGATCAGTCAGAACACAATTGAGGAGAAGATTTTGTTGCGAGCCTGCTCGAAGCAGGGCTGCTGGCCTTTGTGCCCGGCCATCGCCAGCAGGCAGGAACTTCGCCGAGTCTTTGAATACCCCGTGCCAACACTTTGGAGCGCCCTTGATGGAGAAGCCCAAGGCACCGCTTGGATCAATGGCGTGGCTTGGAAGGCCATGCAGCTTCCCATTGGGCTGGTGATGACCAAATGCGCGGGCTTGGCGCAGGACTCTCAGCAGCAACCATCTGCGGCGAACATGCTATCTGCTTCGACTCCTTCGTGCTCTGCCAAGAAGCCTGCAAAGAAGCGGGTGCGCGTGGCAAGTCAGGAGACGGGTTTCCGCCATGATTTAATGCCAGAAACTCCGTCGACCACATGGAGTGTCGCAGATGCATGATCAGGTTCGTGAAGAAGAACAAGTATATGTACACGTCCGGTGTCTACAGCTCCACATGCGTGGCTGAAGAAGCTTTCGACGCGTCTGGGGTAGTATGAGATTCTGAACCGGGCTGCACCTAGTGTGGCTATGCAGTGATACTGTACTTTGTCCTACAACCCCCCCCCCCCCACACCCCACACCCGAAACCCCCGAACTTTGTGGGTCAGAGAGACGGGTTGGGTTGAGGGTTCAGGGCCCACCGCTTGGGAGCCCAAGGGCGTCGGGGCTTGGGCTATGGGTTTGGGGGCTTCGGGGTTGTAGGAGTTTGGGATGGATGAGCTCGGGCTTCGGGTTCAGGCGTGGAGTTTTCGAGCTCCCTCGAATTTGTCCAAACCTCCCTCAAACCCTTGAGCCCTTAAACCCCTGCACTGCGACCCCAAGGCCTAGACACTCAAGCCCCTGCGCCCCTTGACCCCTGACCCTCTAACTCACCCTTAAACCAAAACGTGAAACCCAGACCCCTGTGCTGCGGAGAAAGGGCCATTGCACATTAAAAAAAAAACCAAGCCCCAAAACCCTGCACCCGCAACCTGAGCAGGAAATGGACGAGAGCTTCGTTGGAGGACGGGGGGCGGGGGGGTGGATGGTGGTGTGGATGGAGGGCGGGTGGTGTGGATGGGCGGGGCGTGTGGATGGAGGATGGATGGGGTGGATGGAGGGAGGGGGTGGAAGAAGGGTGGGGTGGATGGGCGGATGGAGGGAAGTAGGATGGAGGGTGGGTGGGAAGGGGGCGAAGGAGGGAGGTTGCTGGACAAGGCGTTCGGTTCGTTACGGTCAGGTGCTTGGGAGATCGCACGGTTCGATTCGGTTCGGTGTCGGTTCCGTAAGCGAAAAATTTAGTGGAAACGCTCATGATTAGAAGCCACCCTCACCGGTGAGACTGATCGCAGTTTCCGTGCCAGGCGCGACTAACATAGGTGAAACCTACGGCCCTATACGGCGGCTCCCGTGATGGCAGATGTTACCATCAGGATACAGCCGCCCGCGAGGGTGATTCTTCATCAGCTGTTGATCCGGACAGCGACACGACGGATGCCGGTGACGAGGTCGACTTTCCATTTGGGTCATACCCCCGCGCTCAATGCCAAGCTGTTGTGGCCAAGGGTATGTTGTGTTGCCTGAGATGCAAAGCACCCCGAACGGATTTTGCAAATTTTACCAAAATGTTCTTTGAGAACCAAAAGTTTCGCAAGCGCCTCCTTGCAACGGCCGCAGCCGGTTCCAGCAAACCGACCGAAGGCCTCATCACCACAGACCTTCGTCACCTTAATCAAGGCGCGAAAAAGCGCGGACAGCTGAGCGCCGAGGCCACAGTCATTCGTGACGCCCAAGGATCGTGTGACAAGGGCGACGAAGCTGCATGTCACATCCGTGTCAACTCGCTGGGTGGAGAATGACTATAATTTCAAAGGGCGCATGCTCCAGGAGAGGAGGACACGCAGAAGTACGACTATTTTGAAACTATTTTGCATGTGCGTGCCTCCCGGACGCAGGGCACACCGAAGAGCAGCGACACATACGTGCAGATTCTCTACACTGCCACGGCCTCCGGGCAAGCTGGTCTTCTATGCCCACTGCGAAGTGGAGCCCTTCCGCACTTTTTGCGCACCCATCGATGACGTTGGAAAAGTGCCCGTTGGCGAATCGGCTTTACTTATATGGGTGCTTTCCTCCCTCCTCGCCTCTACACCGACATTGTTACGATCGGACCCGAGGCTCGCAAAATCTCACATGCGATGGGGAGGTACACCTGAATGGCGCCACAGTGGAGGGGCTCGTCGAGGAAATTGGCCATATCGTCAACGACAGCCTACGCAGTGCTGCATTGCAGTCCGCGGCTACTGAACGGCTGGCAGAGCAGAATCGCCAAATTGCAGCACGAAACAAAGGCATGCCAAAGGGATCACCCGCTGCTGCTGCCGCCCCTCTGTATCGTGGGTACACTCAAGCCCAATATGGGACGAGTGGAACCGCTCCCGCCGGTATTGATTGCCGTGCTGCGCTTTTGGTTGCGTAACATGTTTTGGGCAGCAGGGCTCTCTTCACATGCATTTATACAATCTCGCTTTGGTGCTGAATCGTTCGCTCGAAAGCCCAGGGCAACCTGGAGCCCTTGTGTGACTATTCGCCTTAGCTAGAGCTGCACGGCGAGAGGGGTGTAGATTTTACCCTGCCCACTACTGTACCCTTGTTGCCCTTAGCACCGTGATTTCGCGACTCATGTGGGCTCAAGTCCCTGGGACAAAAGGAGTCCAGACCGTAAACGACACTTCTTATCAAGCCGTTCCTTCCCAGTTGCCCGAATGCCACATGCGTCCCGCAGTCGCCGCAGTTGTGGCATACGCGACCTTGGGACCTGGTTTGGCCAGCCCGAGTTGTGAGAGCGTACACCTGTAAACTCCGCACCCTAGGGCCAGGTTTGTCGCCCTTTTCCCACATATGATACCATCCCAAGATACGTTGTACAAACCCAAACACCTCCGAATAGAGCCGCCGAGCCTTTCTTCAGAGTTGAAAGGTCCTTTGTCGAAGCAAGACGGGCGGGACTCGAAGAGCAGCGGGCTCGGAAGAATCATGGCACCAAGGGTACAGGGCTCACGGTGCAAGGATTCAGGAGTTATGGCACCAAGAGTTTTGGGGTTGCGGTTTGCTCTCTATCGTTGAAGGCTTTAAAGCTTTGGAACTGGGGGCTAATGCAGCATACCAATTGTTTGGGTCTGCAGACTTTGGTGTGAGCCAATATGGGATCGCTGATTCATCACTTGAGCTCCGAAAAGGCCCCTCATCAGGAATCCTGGGCTTGATACTTCGTAAGCCCTTTACCTCCGATGTGCGGACAGGAAGTCTGAAGCTACTTAGCAAAGTTTGTAGAATTCTCTGTGTGGCTTCATGCAGGTAGTGCGAGTGAAGGGAGCAGGGTTCGACTCTACCTGTAGAATGGCTACGGAATGCTAGGGAGGCATACCATTGACAGTACCTTTCGTTGTGCGGCTCGGGCACAGGTTTCTCCATCGCTGCCTCCGAATCCCGCAGCTTTCCAAGGACGGCTATACTCCCCCTCGGTGCGGCATGCATGTCAGATCAGAGGGCGGCTGTGCTTTGAGACAGTGCCCGAAACCCGAAGAACCCAGACTCCTCCCTAGCAATTGCTGAGCCAACCATATCCAGTGCAAGCGCCGCGTGCCTACCAACGTCACATAGTCGCATGTTTCTAATGTTTGCTCCCGTCATCCGAAAGCTCCCCGAAGCTCTGGTGCATCGTTTGCTCCCGAAAGTCTTGGTTGTGACGGTGTTCTCAAAGGAGTGCCCTATCTTCCTGCGGTTCCTGGAGTCTGCTGGCGAGGCAATGTGGGAATCAGAGCCTGACTTCCTGTCCCAGCCACCCAACACTTCTGATTCTAATGTCCATCGCATTAGTGCGTGTTGCAGTTTTGAGAAACCTCGGCAAGCACTGCAGCACCCGTTTCTTCCCGAGTGCTTTCCCAGGGCGACGGAATCAGCCTCGAGGAGAGATGGGTTCTGGACTCCCTGAGTTGCGAAGAGACCGCCTTCCTAGTTATGGGCTTTGCAAAAGCTCTGGTAGGCTTGCAGAGTGTGGCGAGATCCAAGCCTGCTGTGTGACGCTCTGGCTTTCTGTCCTCATCTGGCACTGCCGTGATTTCGCTTGATGGGTGAAACCATTCGAAGTTCAATGACGAGTGATGTCAGAAACAGAAATTCAGGGCGGCACCAAGTACGCAGGACCCTGTGTCAGCACCTGAAGGAGCTCCGACGAAGCTTCGATGGCCGCAGCATCGCCGAGATGTGTGAGAAGCTCACTCCCAGTGTTCACTGCAAACTCGTGGTCTGCATCTCACAAAACAAGCTTCTGTTTCTACACTCAGGACGCCTTTCGCTTGAAGCTGTAAACACACAAGCCTTAGACCAACAACTAGTACAATGTGCAATGTATTTCGGCACTGGCATTCCAGGATGTTCGGGTTGTTTTGGCCTTAGCAGGGCTTCGGCAAAGTGGCCCCAAGCTCTCACGACGTAACCTCCTAGACATGCAAAAAAGCCCTGGCTCTGAGGTTGCTACGCATGCTGCAGGTTGGGATATGTTTCAGTAGGTCACAACGAGCTGACGACACGAATTTAAAAATTATATGATCTCTTGACTCGTATCAACATCTGTTCTACTGCACTCCCTTGTTCGCAGGGTCTGCGCTGCCTGAGGCGGTACCTTCCAGACAGCCTTTGCTGATCAGCTTGCACGACTGGAATCTCCGTCTCGTCCTTTGCCTTCTGAGCTTTGCTATGATTATATTGATCGCTACTGTACGGACTATTGTCGTACTCGTAGCAGGATCGCTATCCCATGAGTCTCTGTGGGTTCGGCCCTTCGACATGCGAAAGGTCCCGGATTGTCCCGCGCAGCAACGCGAGTTTCATTGAACGTGCACTCCACCCACTGAGACCCGACGACAGCAAGTTGTCGGATGCCAAGAGCTTCCTGGAGGTCAGTAAAGGGCTTTGCAGTTTGGGGATCATTCGGACTCCGTGACAGGTGTCTCGCAGATACGTGGTTGAAAAGTGCAAAAACAAAGAGACGGTCTAATGACATGGCGAGCCACCCCAAGCAAGTGGCCTCGGGTCAGGCTCACGTGGTCAAGCTGCGTGACCTGACGGTGGTGCGAGGCTTAATCTCTTAATTCTGAATAGTTTTTTTTTTCCGGGGAACTCAGCAGAGCTATGGTGATGCTGTTGTTTTGGTGCTGTCTCGGCGATGGTGGCGGCAGTCGTCGTAGTAGTCGGCGGTGTACCATACTGCACGGCTATGTTTGGTGCAGCGATAACTTAGCACGCAAGGTCAGTGCGTTTTGTGTCCATCTCTCATGCCATTTGAGTCATTTGAGGCACTACGAGATGCATGCGATGTGCCTTACTCAGGAGTGTAAAGAGTTGGGACGCTGCTTTTCAAGAGCCATGGCATTCCAAGTAGATGCCTGGCTGACGAAACTCCCGGAAACTCCACCGAGAGGTCCTTCGGACGGCTGCGATCATCACCCGCTTGTTCAGATACCCCGTCTTTTTCTACGACTGCCGCACGCATTGACTCTGTGCCCCACCTGCCTGGGCATGACATGCAACCACTAGCTGAGGCACAGAAGCACGCCACAGCCTTGGCCAGCACTGCCCAGGCAGGACAAAGCCGATTTTCGGAAGGCTCATGTCTTAAGGCTCACAAGCAGGCCTGCTGGCAGGAGTGCCTATGCCCTAAACCCAGAGTGCGAGAAGTTCTTAAAGGGGCCCCGCGTCAATACACAGGAGTCCACATGACTTGACTTGGTGTGACTGTTTTGCTACAGGCTTCCTCTAGATTTGGTCTGTGAGACATTTACGGAGTTTGGTTCAACTCAGCAAATTGGCAAAGAAGGGCTTCAGCCCTAGTGAGATGCTCGAACTGCTCCCGAAAACACAGAGACCCAAAAGCCCCGAAGGTACTCTTCCCACGATGCTTACGCCTGACAAATGACCAATGTGCAGTCGCACACGTGGCGGTGTCCGAGTCTGAAAGCACCACATCTTGGGACCTGATACTGTAGCTGGCTCCTTAAACATTAGTGTGAATCTCTCTCCTTGGAAACACTCAAGGGAATGGACAGAACCAACAAACGACTGCATCAGGCCAGGTTTGCATCAGTGGGGGCCCCAGAAAGTCAGGAGCCTGTTGTTTCTGTTTGGGCTTTCATGTTGCTTGACGGGTGCCTGTTGGGCGTTGTGAGTTATGACTATGCCGAGAGTAGGGGACTTTTAGGATTCCGGGATGGATGAAGTCTAGGGCAGTATAGGGATATGTGGTATCGGTTACGTGCCCGCTCTTGGTAAAAGGTATTTTTGGGGTTTGGGTTTTCGGCTTACGTGGAAACGAGGGACATTTGGTGCATAGCGGCTGGACCACTAATGGCCGTGCCGTGGAAATCCAACCCTGGGAATCTTTGCGGTTTGCATGACATCCGCTTCCAATCGCCCTTCAAAAAGAAGGTGGCTTGTTGCGAATTTGCGCCAGCACAGTCCGTGGCTGGCAAAAACCAAAAGGCACCGTTCCGATCTTGCTTTTTGCATGCTTTGTGCTTCTGGCTCTTTGCGGGATTGAAAACTGCTGTCGTGGTCGTGGTAGTACTGTATGGGTTATTGTACTGTTATTGTTATCATTTTTGTTGTTCTTATCGTTATCTAGCAGCAGCAGCAGCAGCAGCAGCAGCAGAAGGAGTCGTAGTAGTAGTAGTGGTAGTCGTCGTCGTGGTAGTCGTCGAGTCAGCTGTTAGTGGCAATGTCCTCATAGGCTTGCTACTGGTGGCAGGGTAACAAAAATGATGAAGAAGGCAATGCCAACCGCCTCTGCTTCTAAGGTGTCTAGCAGTGACACCGCAGACGCTGCATCTTAGCTGAAAGCTTTCAATCCCTCCGTTCGGATCGTGCCTGCAAGTCTCCGCAGAAGCATTGGGCAGCACAGTTCAGACGCGCTCAGCACGAGTGGAAGGCCCGGAAGCCGAGATCGATCATTGCAGCGGCCTTGAAGCAGCAGGACGAGGCCACGCCCGATCAATTTCGACACGCCGCCTGTGAGATGTGGGGCAGAAATCCTCGCATGCGAGGTTTTTCAAGAAGCTCCCGGGTTTCACTACGACCTCCTCCTCGCTGCGGTCGGCCACCGAGTCGTCAACTAGCAGATGCATAGATCCGGGGCTAGCCAGATTTCGCAGAATCATAAAGACAACATTTCGCAAACACGATTCTCATGAACAAAACTCTGACCATATCTTCATACTGTCGATTCATAGCCCGGTAAACCGTAGCGGACAGAGAGTGCGGATAGCGCATCAGCATCATAAACGCAGGCTGAACGTGAGCTGGACGAGACGGAGGCCATGCAGGACCCGACCTCATACAACTGGCAGGTTCATCAGGGAGCAACTTTAAACTCCGCATCAAAATTCGAGATGCGTGCCATCAGCTGGAAGCAGTAGACGCCCTGCACGTGCTTTGTGGATTCTCTTGTGGTCGAGGAGGCACTCCTCGGCTTAGGGGCATTGCACCAAAGGCGCGGCTATGAAGTCCTTGATTCTTAGATGGTCTCAGTATGTGTTGGACTGCATTTGCAGCAACACCGGGCTTCTGCGCCATTTCGGGCACTTGGGCTTCGTGTTGATCTTCCCTTGATGAGTGGATGCCACCCCGTGCAAGATTCGCAGGTGGCTTTCACAGCGTACCACGCCAGTGTTGGATCTTACGCTTGCTCGAACTCTTTCGCGGACGACTCCGCCAAAAAACTTGGAACACGGGACATAGAACAGCAGCTCCAACTCCGCCTGCCCGTCTCTCAAGACAGGTCTAAGTTTGATTATGACTAGGACACCAGGGCTGCAAGGAAGGATCGCAAGTGGCCACGGCAGGCTCGTGGATGCCCAGCAGAAGAGAGTCTTCGTGGAGGTATCGGCGGACGGCGTGGTTATTCGCATCCCGTTTGGGCTCCATTTGGACAGTTTCTAGTGGCAGACAAAGCATGGAGAAAGCCTTGTTGCCAGGTTGAGCAGAAGCGGCTCAGCAGCCGCACAGGCTGAGTGCCCAGCTGTCATTCACAACCTTTCCGAGCTCACACCCCAAAAAGTCTCTGTGTGTGTGTGTCTGTATGTATGTGTATATATATATATACATATACACATACATATGTATAGATATATATACATACACACAATTGTTTAGTTGTTTGTTTATATTTCCTTGTTTGTGTATATATATATATAGCGTTTCCTCAAGCCCCCGCCCGAATCCTTGCTCAGATTCCGGAGAGCCCTCGGCGCTGGGGAAGCTTTTCGGGAAGAGGGACCAGCTGTGCATGTGATGCCTGAAGTAGGTGAAGTGTTTCCCAGCACAGCCACGGCAGACTTGATGTGGAAGCGTCTGCTGGTTCTGGTTGGATTGCTGGGCTGTTTATCTGTGGCATGCTTGGCACAGGACAAAACCACCAAGCTGGAAGATCTCGCCTGGGACTTTGACATCATGTTGATGCTATGCTTTATCACGGAGTCTTTACTTCGTTGCAGCCTAAATCCAACAGAGCAGCACTGAGCTGATGCTAAAAGAGCCTATTGTCTTCTCCCGCAAGGCAAGCCAGCATGCCCAGAGCTTGGAGGACGCCAAGTATGCGGAAGAGTGGTCTCTTGGCTCATGGTTTTGATGCTTGTTTTACTCTTCGGCTCCATTTTGGGATGTAGCAATGACGTGATTCACCCATGCTTCGGTGTTGCTCCTTGATCCTGGTTTCTCACAAGTCCAGGGTCCAGGGTTGTTTCAAGCAAGGCGAGCCGAAGCCTAAATCCAATCTGCATTTTCCTCACCCCATCCGAGCTACTAGTAGGAGTTCGGCCTTCTACTGCCCGCTAATTAATGGCCATGGAGAGTCGCAGGATACCGCAAGGCTAGCTGCTTCGGTTTCGTGGGTCATAACTTACCTGATGCCGTCCGGGAATGCTTGGATCCGGTTTTACATGGACTACATGCCACGTGCCACGAACTGCCTCTAGACATGATTGTTGCAACATCTCAAAGTAGCGCTTCCCCAAACGCAGGAACGCTTTGGCGCAAGTTGGGGAGTCAACAATCTGAGGTATGCTTCGGCGCGCGTTATCGCAATTTCCAGAGAGCTGGATGCGTGCTTTTGCTGATCTAGGGGATCTCTACTGCAGGAGTGTACATGGAAGTTGCCGGGGTTTCTAAAGGGCCTTCTCAATTTCATGTTTTCGTTTACGATGCGCGTGTGTGTGTGTCGTTATCCACGACGATGCATTCGTCGCAGTAGCAGTACTAGTAGTAGCAGTAGCAGCAGCAGCAGCAGCAGCAGCAGTAGCAGACTCCACTACTACTACTACTACTACTACCACTGCCACTGCCACTGCCACTGCCACTGCCACTGCCACTACTACTACTGTTACTACTACTGCTACTGCTCTTAATCTGACTCAATCCGTGCGTATTGCAAACAGCCTCGCTTTTTGATACAATGCAACTTCCCTTCCACACCTTTGCTTGAAAAATCACATGAGGTTCGGGGCCGAGCAGGCCTGCTCTTACAAAGTGTCCGCTGGTTGACTGGTTGAGATCAGCTGTTGAAGTCCATTGTTCTGCTCGGCCCGAAGTTCTGCGGAAATGTTTCTAGCGCCCACAGATCGGCTCGATGTGAACATGTCCACATGCTGTTGCAGGTGGCGTTGAACAACTGGCTGCAGCTCGAAATTGCGCTGCTCTTGCTGCAATTGTAAATAGAGCCACGGCGTTTTGGAGACATCCGGGTCTTGCAGTAGCTGTCGCAAGACTCGCATAGACTGGACCATATGGAAATTGCGCTAGCAGCCATGGCGCTCGATCGTGGACATTGTGTTTTACAGTCAGCCAAGCCCATTGTCAGTCACACGAATATGTTGGTGGAGCCCTAAAGTTACTGCACCGAGGCGGCGTTTCCGCGCAACATCGCTGCGGCTTGCATCAACATGGGAAACCCTGTTGATGGATGGCTGAGGATCTGGATTGAGAAGGATGACACAAACACGCGTTTTGTGCGAATCTATCGTGGTTGTCGCCGCATGCAAGGGGGGTGGTGCATGCTTGCTCTCGTCTCATCCAAATGTTTGCAGCAAAACCCTTGGCCAGATGCTGTATTGCGGGACTGTCACTCGCTTTTCTTTGGGCGTTTCCAGGCTCACAGCACAGGTACAGCTTAGGAGCAGCATGGTGCTGATGCTTCCAACGTGACTGAAAGGCCACACAGTCAACTCCGTTTTAGTGTCGTTGGTACGAGGGTACTGCTCAACTCTTGCATGCAAGAGCACTTGAGGGGTCGCCTGCAGCACTGCAGCAGCACCTAGCACGTGCCGGCAACGGTTCGTACGCTCTAACCAGTTGACTTTGTGTACTTTGGCAGGGCCAGTATGGTATGGCATCACTTTGAGGCCATGAAGAGCTTGTAAAGCGTTTAGGGCAGCAGCCCGCCGCCACCGCTGATGGCACGCAGCTGCATCCCGCAAGTCGTGGGGGACTGAGATTCCGATCTCTTGCTTCGATGGCATAGCTGTTGTATATTGCCCCGAATGGTAAGAACGGGAGGCTTTAAGCATGTTGCACATCGTGCGTCCTGGCTCTATGACCCAAGACCAGCTCCGAGTCTGCAGCACCTCAGCTAAGATCTAAGCAATGGGATAAACTTCTGCTGCCGCATCTTTCGGGCGTTCGTTATCTCGGAGGTGACCCCGGAAGCATGCCCTGCTCTTGCCCACATGATTCTGTAATCGCGTCATCATGAGTCTTGATGGTTCAATCGAGCTGATACTGAAGTATCGTCGAGCGTTTCTTGCAACGTGTCGTTCTCATGGTGATGGTAAAAGAAAGGAGTGAGTTGCAATCGACATGTTGTCAAGACTGCTAACGCCATGAGGCACAGTCACCATAACCATCGCTTTCATTCATGAATCATGGCCCTCGCCAAATGACCGTTTTACTATCACCTCGCCTCTCATGACACAACAACCATATGTAGAAGGATGACTTTCTTGCGTGTCTGCCCTGAGCCTTACTATCACCCAGGGCCATGCGGAACTGGCTGCTTCGCTTGGCCCTAACCCTTGCGGTTGGGCTCTGAGTCGTCAGCACCTGCTTGAAGAATTGAGTTTTTCAGCTGCACAGTCGTGCCCCCTTGTACGCGCAGTACAAGATGGTGAGGGTTCACGAGAATCCTGGCACTTGCAATGCACTGGTGCCAAGGGAAAGACTTGCACCTCCCTCGTGTGCAAGAGTGCAAATCAGTATAATAGAAAGCTGTCATTGTTGTGAACTATGCCCGAACAGCTGAAAGAAGATCCTGATTGATTTTCTAAATGCTCCCGCATGATCAATCATGTTGTCACATAGATCCAAGTGTCTTATGCACAGGGAAATCCCGTTCGATCTCCTTGTGCTTGAGCTTCATGGTTCCCTAACGAGGTGCTAGAGCCGCTGGCTTGTGGAGGGTCACAGAAAGAGAAGGACCTTGCTCGGAGGGGTCAGGTCAGGTGGATCGGTCTTCGCGCAAAGCAGCAGAGGTACGCGGGTGCATCAAGATTCAAGACACTTAAATAGCTTGTGTCTCCCAAAATGTGAGGCATCTGACAGAATCTGTTTCGCGGCGTGCGAAAGCGTAGACTTGACTTGACTTGTTAAAGTCGAACTGAACCCTTGGTTTGAGGACTACTACGAGGTGCTCGGAGTTGCCCAGGCAAGGGCTCATGGTTACAGCTTTTGGACCACAACCGCTCGGGTCCCTGGGGAGCCCTCAGATGGCTCTAAACCCTGAGATTTCCCTACAGAAACAGAAGGGCTGAGATCTGAGATGCATATCGGTGGCAGGATGCTTCCGAGTCGGACATCAAGCGAGCCTACAAGAAGCTCGCTTTGAAGCCATGCTCTCAGAGTGCTGTGATCTCCAGCCGGAGGCTTTCGCCAGGTCGATGGGTGGTGTTTCTGGGGCAGCTGTTCTTCCATGCTGAAGCTTCGGACATGGTGCGAAATCCATTTGCATGGTGCTGTGGTTTCATGTCCGTGCTCGCGTCGCCCTTCGCAACCCGGAGTCTTGAACCGTTGACCTCCAGCCCCCTGACACTGTGAAAAGGTGGCACCCGGACAAGAATCCTGATCAGAAGGAAACGGCGCAGCGACACTTGGCGAACACGGGCTTGTGTTGAGTCTTTTGGCCCTGCCATACATCAGAGAGGAATTGTGATTGTGAAAGTCTGCCAGATTCTCGGAGCAGCCTGGAGACTTGACCAGCGGACTGCCCGTATGTACTTTATAAACAACCTTGGTCCAAGTAGGACACTTGTAACTCCAGTTCTAACCTACTAAGTCCCAACATTCATGACAGAGAGAGAGAGAGAGAGAAAGCTGCGCATGCCCAGGAGAATTCATCGCCCTTGCCTCGGGAGTGCATGCTCGGGATTCCTCTACAAACCTCAGAGCCTCGTACGACAGCCTTTCACGAGTTTGCATGTACAACACAACAGCAGGGGATTAATTATTCAAACAGCCCTGTAGTAAAAGCCTTGTGCTGAAATCTCGTTGTAAAAACCCGTTTGCATAGAAGGAAGCCTCCGAGCGCTTTGCTAGCCAAGCCGATTCGTTCCAAGTGCAGAAAGAGGATGTCAGACAGATGCTACGGTCAGCTGTGCCAGGTACTTGATTCGTCCTTCTTTGTCCATACTGTCTGCGGAGGCAATTTCTGCTCCCAGTCGTCACCCGCTAAAAAAGTCCCAGAAGGCAAGCTGATTGTCTCACTCCCTCTATTCCATCTACAGTACCTAGACACATATACATATATATATAGATATAATGCATATGTATATGTGTATGTGTATGTGTATGTGTATGTATGTATGTATGTGTGTGTATGTATGTGTGTATGTATGTATGTATGTATGTATGTATGTATGTATAGATTATATAGAGCGAGCGAGAGAGAGGGAGAGACAGATAGACCTGAAGGAAGAAGACAGATAGATAGATAGATAGACAGATAGACAGATAAACAGACTGACAGATAGATAGACAGACAGACAGATAGATAGATAGATAGGTAGATAGGTAGACAGGTCGATAGGTAGATGGATCGATAGATAGATAGATCCCTCGGTAGATAGATAGATAGATAGATGCAACCCAAGGTGCCTTTCAACATGCGTGTTGTGCTTCACGTTAGGCGTCGGTTTAGCTATAGTTGTTGTGCGGTTCCAATCGCTGGATGCGCAAGTGGGACAAGTAGAAGCCGGACCGAAGTCAATGCATCGGCGTTTCGAGCTGAACGGATTTACACGGCTCCCGATCTTGCGTTGTGGTCCGAGGCCGTGCAACAAGCCTACGAGGTGTGGCTTTTCAGTTTAACATCGTGCAGTACTGTCTGATGGATAGCAAACCCCAAGCCTTTACAAGCTGATTTTTCATTCAGCCACGACCAGCACTCTGTCATGCCTGGCACATTCCTAGCCTTCCGTGCAGGTCTTGGGCGACGTGGACAAGCGTCGCCGATATGACAACCAGAAGGCGCAGCAGCGTCAGAGTCAAAGCAGTTGCTTTATTATCTTGAGACGCCCATAACCCGTTTCGGCATCTTTCGGCTCAAATCTAAAGGACTGTCAAAGCCAGCCAGAGACTAATTAGAGGACACTTGCAGGTCTGGCAGGTCGTCTTCTACACCTGCGCAGGCGAAAGCATGATGTTTCCTGAACGCAGCGAAACATGTCCAAGTACCCAAGCCGCGATGCCCGGAAGAAGCTCGACAGATCCAGCTGCTTCGAGCTCCGGGTTGGCAGAATTTGCCCCTAGCAGTGCTGAGGTAGCGCAGCGCTCGTGGAGTGCCGGAGCTGAGCGCCCAAACTTCAAGGGCAAGATGGATGTCCTTGTGGCTGGCGGGGAGGATTATGAGCGTTTCATCTTTCAACGACATGCTCAAGCCCTGGGTGTTGAGAATGTTGTGGAGTGTCGCAATCGCCGGGACTTCCGCGTAGCGCTCTTCAACTCGCAGAGTCAAAATCAGGATCTTCCCTGTGTTGTCTTTCTTGGCAGCGAGTCATGGCTTGAGGACTTCACAAAGCACGACCTCACCAAGCGGCCACCCTATGTTGTGAATATA